GGGATATCCCACGCTATCCTGAGAGTCCGTAACTGGCAGTCAATCAGCCAATATGTAGAAAGAGTTCTAACAAGGAAAAAGACATTAACATCCCGTCTAGTGCAATCGACAACCCTTCATACCGAAGAAATGCCTTCAGGCGATACCGGTGTTGTAACCCAAACCTAGTGTAAATATTAATTATAGTTTTAATTAATTAATCTCTATAAGTATTTTAACCTCTTCCAATAATCCTGTAACAATATCTCTATGAATCATAATTATGTCCTTATTCTTTTTCTTATTAGACTGTATACTATAGGCCTTCTCGCCAATTACTGTCTTAATTGGTTGTAACTTGTAATTAAACTAATAAATATGTTATATCAAAAAAAAACAAGCAGTGAACTCCAACACAATGTGTTGATAAGGCGCGTCATTAACTCGCACATATCAACCCCTTTAGTTTTCATTTACAGAGATTTCAAAATAGGCAAACAGCATAAAAAGAGAATTCACGATCCAACACTGCGAGGTCAAAGACGCACCTTGACGAGACCGTGTATTGTGAAAGTAGAAAGCTATTCGATCGAATTTAAGTTTTTTGATCTGCCTCAAGCAAAATCTTATCAGATTCTTGAAGAAAAGTGCTACGGAATAATTTAAGCGAAGAAAGGAAAAATTCTGTCGAACTCCTAGAAGATAAAGTCGATTTAAAGGTATTTTGGGGCTAAAATACCCAAATCACCGGTAGTAAAAATCCCGTTATATTATTGAAAAGAAATTGACTCGATATAAATGCAATTGCATTAAATACGTCTTGATTTTGTTATTTTAAACGTCTTTCCATGCAAAGAAGTTCAACCATGTCGTTGCTTTATTCATTCATGAATTGAAAGTAAGCAATCTACATCCCGAAAATCTACTGATTTGCCGTAAAAAATTGCAGAAACTTGATATACCAGGTCGATGCACCCACTCGTTGAATTTACCAACCAATTTTGTGAGTGCAAATGTGTAAGAATCAATATGCTATAGTCATTTTGGGTGCATTTATTTTTCATGAAACAATAATAATTTCAATCCCGAAAAACCATCAATTTTCCGTATAAAATCGAAAAAATCAAAATATGTCAACTCCCCGACGTGAAAATTAGATTCTACGTATGTAAAATGTAAATACTTATGTATCGATATGCTGAACAGAACTATGTGTGGACAGTCAGAAGCCCGCGGCAACATTAATTCAACAGAAAAACTGTAAAAATTAGATAGGATTTTAGCCGCTTTGCCCGCCTCTCCTCGCTACTTACAACAAACCGTTCTTATACTCATCTCAAAATTTTTCTCAGAGCTTTGGGTTATTATCAGCTTCCATTTAAACTCCGGTTCGATGGCCGAATCGGCTGCCAAAAAAGCAAGCCACTGTTGAGGGGTTCTATGAGAAATTCGTGATATTATCGGCTCTCAGGAAATCACCCCATGGCTAAAATTGGTGGTATAAATGTTTAAGTGCTTAAAATAATCGTATTCAAGAAACTAAGGAATTAAACTATGGAGTCAATTTCTTTTTAATAATATAACGAATTTACTACCGGTGATTTAGCTATTATAGCCCCAGAATACTTTTAAAGCGCCTTTGCGTTCCAGAATCTCGACGGAATTTTTTTTTTTTTTTTTTTTGCTTAAACGATTCAAGAAACATTGTAGTTAAAAATATAAAGATTTTTCGATTTGGACGTATGAAAAATGTTTAACTCGTTCAGGCACACCGTGTATTGTATGGAGTACTGCTGTTATTCGACCGTTGTCTTCAGGTCAAAATTCTTACAAAGAAGCCCCTTGCAAGAGGCAAATTTTTTGTAATTTCTCCCAGTTTTTTCAGCGTTAGGTATATAAATGAATTGTTTGTCAAATTTTGAGGTCAATTATATTTAATTGTAATTTATACTTTCTTTTTTTCCCCTTCATTTTATTTTTCGTATCGAGGAGTCGAGGTTTTGTTGATTTCTTCGGATTTCGATTACTGTAACTTCTCTTCTATTCGGCCGATTTTTATGAATGAGGTCTCTTTTTATTTGTGTTTTAACGGAGAGTAAGGAAAAAATTGCTAAATACATGCGAAACAATTTTTTTTGAAAATTGGATGAATCCTAGCGTGACGGTGAAATGGTTAATGAAGCGTGAGTAATTGGGGTACGGGTATCGGCCGCGTTGGGACCCAAGGCCCATTGTTCTTCGTGACGCCGACGCAGTGATCAGGAGCGTGGGGACGAGAGGGCTTAGTGGACTCCTGTATGAGCCACGTTTAGCAAATGGTCTAATGAGTCTCGAGGCTCATCACAGATTGCACTTACCACTATCCTGGTGGCCCCGGCTATCAGAGCAAGGAGTACCAACTTTTGAAAAGGATAACAGTGTTGTGGAGATATGTCAAAGCAACGTTGTGAACAAAACGGAGTGAGTGAAATTCTCATTCAAGGAGTGCCGAACTGGTCAGCCATCCTCGAATCAGTTCGCTTGCTTCCGCTTATATATGCATATTTTAAATCAGCGCGCCCCATTCTAAGGTTTTTTTAAAAAAAACCAAGAAACGTAGACTCTTGGTATTCATTACACATAAACTAGCGAGCCCCAGAATGAGAAACAAATTTTAATCATTATTATTGACGGATTAGTAAACTTTTTACACGCTTTGGAAAATCTCAGAAGTTCGCGGTAGTCACTTTTCGGTAAGGAACTAGGGGACTCGGTTATTGTATCGAGGGGGGGGGTCGAAACGATCGCAAAGGCGGTATACTACGTATACGCGCCAAAAAAAAAAAATCCTGAGAGTCCACCTCTACATTAAGACAAATTCTCCATGCAATGATAGGGAGCAAATACATTAGCAGGGTCGCCGTGTTTTCAGTTTTGGAGTCCCCACATAAAGTGGCAGCCCTGTCATGGTACATGTTGAACCGATCGATATCGATACAATCTTACCGATTCGATGTATCGAACATGATCCATACCGAGCAAGTTGTAAGCACCCCCTTTATCACACCCCGCAGCGGTTCTAAAAATTCCGCGTTGGCGATGACGGCTTGACGCGGCGCACATGACACTGTTTTGTTCTGCCGTGATAAGTTAAAACGTCGTATCAACATTCGAACGTTGCCAAATTTCCCCTCAGAAAATATATATTTTGAGTAAAGCTATGAATGATTCATTCTTGAAATTTTCCAACTTTTTACATCAAATTACGAACGAAATCCTTTGAAAAATCGGGATAGAAATATTCATAAATTTCCCTAAAAATTCGTGATAAGTCGAAGGCAATTTGGCAACGCCTGATGGTTCATACGCCGTTCTTCCTCGACACGACAGTATTTGGGATCGGGCTCGACCCGAAGCCGATAGGATCGGAAATACGGAATCACACCGAACACCAAAAACAACACTCAACGAAAACAGTGGTGGCGCGCGCGGCCGGATTTAAAAATAAACAAAGCCCGCGGAAATAAATAGCGGCCAGGTTCACGTGTCCCCCTCCGAAAAGCGGCCTGCGAAATGTAAATGACGTGCTTGATAGTATTTGATGTGTTCGTGTTGTATGCCGTCACACGTTGCGAAATTTCCCCGTTTTCAAAACTTTCCGCGGTTTGTTTTCATCTGAACGAGCGGTTTATGTTGCGATGTGGCGCGCGCCTCCGGCTGCGGTTTTGCGAACGAAAACAAATAAATGAGCGCGAATAATATTTGCAACGTCAACACACATCAGTGTCAACTCCGACCGTGTTGGGGTTAGCACTTTGTGTTGCGGATACCGCGGTGTGATGGGTACTCGAGTAAAGGGCTAGGCAGCTCGTGCTCTCAGAGCGATTAGTTTATTTTTTCACGGTCTTAACCCTTAGATGCGAGGTGAACGCTGACGAATAATAACAAATCGAGAAGACCGAGAAACTTCATGACACAAAGAATTAACAACAGCGATAAAATTTAAGAGGAAGATAATGAGGGAACTATCCAATGTAAATACGACAACAGTAGGCTTCAAACTTAGAATGTGAACACATAGGCCTTCGGCTGCAATTCTTTCAAATTGTAGTTCCACCATGTAAAATACCAATAAAATACGTTTGTTCAAAAAATAAAAAAAACATCAGCTTGCGTATTTCATACGAAAAAATGCGCAACGCCGCAAACTTATTTTCAACAAATTTTCAGTGAAACGTGTTCCTTTAGCTCTCGATCACGAGTTCGCACTTCTATCGCGCCTTCAATTTTACGCACGCAACATGGACATCCATCGAGTACGAATAGTTGTATCTCTGCGCCGTCAACAACGCGCATCCTTTCCTTGGCTCTATTCCCATTGTGTTAATAACGTTTACCTGATTTGTTGTGCTCCTTTAAGGTCTATATGACCTACACAGCCGAATATAGGAGAGACGCATTCGGGACTTGTTTTCAAACTGCTGTTCTAATGTTTTTTTTTTAAAATTTATTTTTTAAATTTATTCCTTGTGTTTTTGGGCTGATTGTGACGTTTCGCCCTTTTCTATATTTTACGCGATCCGCCAGCGTCAGCGGCGAGGTGTTAATGATCGATTATTGATATTATTCCATTTTAAAGTGCGTGGTATAAAAAATCGACTATTAAGGTGTTCACTGCGAACACCCTGTTTATCGATCATTTTCCATGATTTAAAGACAGGTCAATCGATCGATCAGTAAGCTTTCCACGCCCCTGATCAGCGTTGATGTTTGATTTGTTTCAACGGTGAAACACAATATACAAACCAGTGGCGTGGCGTGAATAATCGATTATCGATATCTCGCCATTTGAAGCTATGGTAAAGAATCGATTACTGAGGTGTTCGCTGCGAACACCCTGATAATCGATCTTTTTTCATGGGTTTAAATGGCCTACCAATCGATATATCGCAATTCACGCCACGCCACTGATACAAACCAGATCAGTGGGACGGTAATAATATGTAATTAAAAATGTAAATTTCGAATTTTCACGAACTTACTTGTTAATCAAAAAAATTCTAAGAAGAGTTCTAAGATCAACTCGAGCGGCTGAACAGGTTTTAATGGATCAAACTGAATCTCACTCTCTGAGTTTCCATTTTCTCACGATGGCGACATCTGTGAACAAGCATACCAAACAACATAATGAGAATATTTCAACATATGGATAGAAGAAGTTTGACTCAAATATGAAATCGACCCTCCTCATATTGAAACTATAAATAAATGTACACCCATCAGAATTGACCGAAATAAAAATGCCGCGCACAGTTATTATGTCGAAGCACACCCACGTTCCGAGAGTAAATATTTGGACAGATTCATTTCCTGCCGCAGCCAGTCCGACGAGACGTTAGCCGCGATTCAGCTTCCACACATGTCAGTGTCAATTTGATCACATTGTGAAACTGCTATTTCTGGCTGACTCATAAAAGAACTTACATACATGGGGAAATTGTCAGCTCATTTGTTGTTTTCAAAGTGAGGTAAAAGTAGCATGTGTCATTGCATCAAGGGAGATTTTGGTAGAAAATAAATCATAATTTTGTACAGTCAAAATTTACCTAAACATGATAATAGATGATAATTTTTTCAAATCATAACTTTTCGAAAACAGATCCTTTCAATGGATTACAATAATTAGACGTATTTCTACCAAACGGAGCTATGCCCATCTTGACGGAAGCCCTGTTGTGCATATATTCCTATGGGTCTCAGGGCTCACGTCTGAATGCACATAGTTTCGTTTGGTAGAAATACGTTCAGTTGAAGTACTGGGTGCAGAAAGGGCATTCTTGGTTGCAGTGTCTCAAAATCTCCACCGTTTCATCATTTGTGAATATAGCAAATGTATGTAATTTCCTACAATTTTTATCGAATATTCTTAATGATTTTAAAATACTAGAAACGTAACTTTTCATCAAATTCATCTTAAGTTTCCTCTCTAAAATAAAAATTAGCACTGATGAATCCTAAAGGCGCTCTTACACTGAAAAAAAAAAGATTGGTAGAATTTACCATTCCTCTACGGTGCATTTTATATAGCGTCAATTCAGAGTCAATTCTGCACGAGGAAAGGTAAAAGTTACTATATACTGGTACAGGTAACCATCCCTCTAGCAGAATCGACTTGAGGATTGGTAGAATTTTCCAGTCCTTTACACTGTGTGAAATACAGCGCGAGAAAAGGTAAATTCTACCCATCTTTTTTTCAGTAAGCCATTCTGATAAGCTAAAATTTATAGTTTCTCATTACAAAATGCAGCCCTAATATTTTTTGCGGGCGAAAATCTCGAGTCGAGACAAGAGGCTACGAAGCCTCTCATCCCTAACGGGGGCTGGAATCGTAGGGCAGGCGCAGGGTTGGTCGAAAGGGACGGAGATGGGAGTAGTTAAACACTGCGAATGCGAATGTTGATCGTTGATCGCTGACACGTAACAGATGTTGATAACTAGACGCCCCGCCCTTCTCCCCGCCAGGCGCTGTGCAATTGTGCAACGCATTTGCTCTTAATAGTTGCAATACATCATTTCCAGCCCCGGTTGCGAGATCGCCTCTGAGTTCGGGGCAACAATGGATCCCTGGACCTTGCCGATTGAACGCGTTGCAAGCTTTAGCTCGACCGAAAGAAGAATGTTTCGAATTAAAAATTGCTGAAAAAAACACGATTAATGCATTGGAAAGATATGCGGTGCATCCTTAACTCACAAGCGTAGACAATGTATTTTTTGACATTTTTCCTCGCGGTAAAGTAAACAATTTATACCTAATCGTACTTTTTTAGTCAAAATTGATCTCAAGGTGATTCGATGGACGTCATATATTGTGTCAGAACGTTATGCAATACATCGCATAGATCAGCTCCATATTTTCAGCTACTTCTATGTTTCATTTTAATGAAACATAGAAGTAGCGATCTCATTCAATGAGATAGCATCTCTGTTGTCACGAGACTAAAGAATTCACTTACCAAATTTGACCAACGTAATAAAGACAGGGTTTTTTAGAAAAGAAATATCGCATTCGATACTGAATTGAAACTGCACTCGCACTGTTACGCTGACTTACCCCTTCCCTCCCCCTCCCCCCAATGCGTTACGTAATACTTGAACGGCCCCTGGATCCAAATGCCCACTCATAATAAACCAAAAATCAAGGTAGATCAAATCGATCAATTGAAACTAACGTATTGTTCAATAAATACCCCAATGAGTAATTTGAATTTGAACTATCAGTTTACGTAGTAAGTTCACCACACTGGAAAAAAAACACATTGGATCAAGAGTCCAGACTCTTGAAAACATTGACAAGAAAAAATACTCTTGATTCAATGGGATTTTTGCTTGAATCAAAACGAAATCCGCTTAAATTAAGAGGCTTGGTTCTTGATTTTTAAGCTTAAATCTGATTGAATCGAGAGTATTTTTTCTTTTCGATGGTTTTAAGAGTCTGGACTCTAGATCCAATGTGTTTTTTTTTTCCAGTGCGCCAACGGGCGATTTTGACGAGCATCGAGATTTTTAATTCAAGCAAAAATCCGATTGAATCAAGAGTATTTTTTTCTTATCGATGTTTTTAAGAGTCTGGACTCTAAATCCAATGTGTTTTTTTCCAGTGCATATTTCAATGAGATCAGATTTCAGCAAAAAAATCTATTTTTAAAAGTCGTAGATGTGGCTAAACCGAACTCGGCGCTACGAACTCATTGCCTCCTCATCCATTACTCGCACCCCATCCTTCCACCCTTCCGTAGCCATGCTCTTTTGGAATCAATCGACGATCAAAAGTTTAAAACCCGCCAATTTTTTATTTTCGCCGCCGATTTTAATGGGGTATCGCTTGTCGTTTTCCTCCTCATTTGGACTGCATTTTGCAATTTGGAACTATAAATTCTGGCTCTTCTAGAAAAACAAATATGTGCATAGGGAAACTAATGGCACATACGTTGTTTTTAAACCGGGCTAGACTTTATGGTTCCAAATTGCAAAATGTAGTCCATTTAATCAAACGAATCCCTCCAGCTCTCGATGGACGCCATTCCGATCGAATTGGTATGGTGCTTGTTCTTAAAAATAAGGTCATTCTTCCACAGCAATACAGATCGCAGAGTTGGATCGGGAAATTATCGACTCCTCGCTCCATTTAATTGAGGTTGCACCAACACTGAATACGGCCTAATGTTGGTGGCATTGTCGGTCTCCTGTAGTGAAGTGGTTGCAGCGCTAGCTCTAAGACCAAGAGGTCCCGGATTCGATTCCCGACCAGGTGACCTGAATTTGAGGGTCTGAGACAATGGTCACCTGGGGCTGGTGGTAAGCGTGGGATTACCCAACAAGGGATATTTGAAGCTTGTAAAAAAATTAAAAAAAAAAAAAAAAAAAAAAAAAAAAAAAAAAAAAAAAAAAAGTGTGAAAGGGGTGGTAATTGAGCCGATCGTTTTCCAAGCGCCAAAATTTCAAAAATGTGGTTAATTATTGCTTATGCCGGGAGGAGTGCCACTGTATTTTCAAGGTATAGCCCTGTTCAAATAATACGAACTGAGCTTCTCGTGGTAGTGCTCCAATAAATTAGGTTACTAATTGGAAATAAACGCATCATTCAACAAACTGCACCGGAAAAAAAACCGCTTGGATCTAAAGTCCAGACTCTTGAAAACAATGACAAGAAAAAGTACTCTTGATTCAATCGGATTTTTACTTGAATCAAAAGGAAATCCGCTTAATTTAAGAGGCTGGGTTCTTGATTTAAGCAAAAATCCGATTGAATCAAGAGTATTTTTCTTGTCATTGTTTTCAAGAGTCTGGACTCTAGATCCAAGCGGTTTTTTTCCAGTGTGGAGTAGTACCACCACAATTTAAGGGATAACTCTTTTTCCGAGTTAAAGTCAAATTAAACATTTGTAAGGAGTCGTTTTCAATTATCTTACGTCGTTCCCAAACAAAAGATACAATACACATGTAAACTGAAAAAAGTCTAGAGCTTGTTGGAAACCCCAATTTTGTGTGTGTTAGGAAATAAAAACACCCCTCCAAAAGTTTTCGGTTTTCCGGAGGGATCAAAATTTAAAAAAAAAAGAAAAAACGATGTTGTGATCCCAATTTAACCTCTGGCGTCGATAAATTATCCCCTATTCTGGTTCCGCTCCACTTCCGTCCATATCGGAGACCTCTTACCCGACCCCTCATCCCGTTTTGGCCCTCTCCCGGGAGAGATCGCTGAGTTTTCGGGACGTATACAGGGTAAACAGGGACCGAGTGCGAGCGGAGTGCCTCATTTGAATAAAATATTAGACTAACAAAAGGGGAGGAATGGTAGAGAGGAGACTGAGAAAATAAGGGAATTAAAGAGAAACAAATCCTGCACCTTAAACAGGGCATATTGTTTATTGCATTCTTATGGTATCGATTTACGATACTCAGCACTTGATGCTGAAGGTCTCTTTGGACCTTCTTTAGTTTTTTCATGTCGAAGACCAACGGGGAACCACTCAGTGTGTCAATTGCCTGGACAGAAAGCCATTTTCTTTTTCTGCGCACTAAAAGTTATAAATCTTATGTCGATTTTTTCCTTATTTTTAATTGACAGATGCTTTATGTGTGTATTTAAAATTTTGTGCGGGATTCGGGATCATTTAAGATGTGTTTTGATGATTTTAAATGTCTTGGAGAACATTAGCCGAGAAAGGTTATAGTACTTCATAACATACATAGTATTTATTATCAATACCCATAATTAATAATCCCCAACATTGCGCATGTTAAATTTATTTTAGGATTTCCTGAAAATTGGTAATTTGATTGAATTTACCGTCTAAACTATCAAGAACTCAGGCAGGAAAAAACATGCGGGCAGTGGAACTCAAAAGCATTCTTAACTCAATTTTTTCGAAAATGTGTGTTGGTTCCTTTTTAATAAACTCGGTCCAGATATGGACGTGTTCATGCTAAAAAGAACTGTGTCACTCGCAATCCATATGCACACAGTTTCTCTTAGCATAAATACGTCCTTATGGCTCGAAAACCCAAGGCGGGGGTAGTTTTCATACGAGAGAAGGGTCAACAGATGAAGACATCAAACATCAACCTCTCTTTCTCAAACTAATATCCGTTTTTCGACT